GCTGGGAGCCCTCCCCCTCAGGCGCCGCCCGGGGATCCAGGGCTCTGAAGGAGGGGGTGCAGCTCCACTTTGAGGATAGCCTGCCGGGCGCCCGGCCCGCCGGAGGGGAAGGGGCCAGGGCCGAAGTCATCACCCTGCAACTCCGCCGGGCTGGGGTGAGGGGGTCCAGAGCAAAGTTACTGCCCCAGGGCTCCCGCCCCTCGGGGCCGCCAGCACCACCGCAGCCGTAAACATGTTTGTGCGGCAGCCTCGCCCCTCGCCACCTCAGGCGCCTTTTGGAGGTGCGGGGACCCTCCGGAGACGTCCATGCACCTGCCCAGCCACCAGGCTGCTTCCTACTGACCTAATTGGACAGGCACCGAGACAGCCTCTCTTTATTGCCCTCCCCTCCACGACACCTCCCCCATCCTCAAGTCCAGCGCAGCTTGTGGGTGGGCGGGAGCGATTTTTAGCTCCTTGCAGCCTTAGAAGATGCTGGTCTCCAGGCTGCGCAGGCGCGGGAGGCGTGGGCCCACTGCTCGGAGTCGGACACTGAGGACTGTTGTGGAGTGTAGGGAGGCGGGGACACATCGGGAACTCCCACTTCCAGGACGGGTGGGGATTGTGACGCTGAGAAGGGTCTTCTCCAGTCTTTGGTGTGTCCTTCTAAGGGTTAATAGAGCGGTTTGGTGTTGCTCCCAAACAGACCTCAAAGGGAAAACTGATCAAAGCTTCACCCCAAGGCCTGCCTGGGGTCTGGTCCTTCTGAGCCTTTTTGGAGCTCAGTCCAGTGCTAGATGATTCGGAGGGGTTTAGGTAAAGCCATACGGGGTCCCAGACCCAGGCTACATCTCTTGCCTGGAGCTTGGGAAAAGAAGGGGGGGGTGGTTTCCAACCCTCATTCAGGGCCTTGTCCTTTTCCGGACTTCTCTAATCCACCATCCCTGAGGTTGGAGGCCAAGGTGAGCTGATCAGTCACTGCAGCAGGAGAAATCGGGGTCAGACAGCAGGAAGGACTTTCCAGGTGTCTGGATGATGCTGGAGCCAGACCTATGGTGCAAAGCTATTTTGCTTTCACACAGAGCTCAGGTGGCCTCATCTGGGAGCCTTGGACTCTGTAAGTCTTCCCTCTCCGTTCCAGGCCTGACTTAGGAGAAAGGGTTCTGAGGAAAGGGAGGGAGCTGCGGCAAAGCCAGAGCAAGTGCTGAAGGAGCCAGGCCGGGTACGCGCTGTCGGATCTCCAGGAAAAGGGAGGGGAGGGGCGGGGCCTGCCTGAGCTGTGCCTCCGCCCTCCGGGCCGGCGCCGATTCCCATTGGCTCAGCGCCACGCGGGATTTCTGTCTCCCGCAAGACCACACCTCCAGCCCAGGATCCTCCCACTCGCCCTCCAGTCCACCCGGAGGCAGCCACTAGTTTTTGCCACGGGCGCGAGTCTTGCTCCTACCTCTTCCCTCTGGCAGGGTCGGGTTAACCGGTTCGTTGCCTGGATACACCCTCACGCTGGTGCAACCCCTTAAGAACTGTCCCACAACCTCTGAGCGCCCGAGGGCTCCCTGTGAGCAACTGGGATCGTTTGGACAGCATCCGGGTTCCCATGCCCTGTTCGCAGCGCCGTCCATTAATCCCAGGGAGATGGAGCATCTGCTTGGCAGAGCCATTCTGCAGCTGGGGATGGATGTGACGTCTGTTACACTGACGCCAAGGATCCAGATCCTCTACGGCTCCGGTTTGCCCCTTTGTTCGACCTTAGAATGTTTAGGACCGCGAGCGGATGGAGCTAGGTTTGAGGACTTCTCCGGGAGGGGCTTAAAGGTTCCTCAGGAGCTCACCTTCAAAAGCCAAGCGTACCCAGGTCTGGAGTCCGGGGCTCCGTGGCCAGAAAATCCAGGTCTTGATTTCACTTGGGCCATTGCAGTCTTGCAGCCGGCCAGGCTGGTCCAACATGCAGCTCATTCAAGCTGATCCTGTGAAGAAAGGGGGAAAACCCGGTATGGATTTCAAGTCACCCAGTGGCTCTGTGGGGCAGGACTGCTGCTGTAGACATTGTGCCCTTTGACCCCAAACCATACCTGTGTCCTCTGTACATGGGAGTGGGAAGTCCCTCTGGCCCATCTCCTGTCGCGCAGGGTGTCCACCCACAATAGTTCCTGTTCCTGTGACCTAATATTGAGCATTAACTATGTGCTAGGTATCATGCTGAGGTGTTAGGCACCTGCATCATCTCACAAAATTCTCTTCGAGCATAACTATTAGAAGGTCATTTGCCAAGAGGCAAAGCTGGGATTTGGACCCAGGGCTTTCTGCTTTCAGGAATCCCAAAGATGATGAATTTCCTCCTGGTTGGAATCCCAAAAAAATGAATTTTTGAAACCGTCACCCAAATTTTGCAGCCCTACCCAATCCCCTTTATTCACATCAGCCTGTGGACTCAGGACTGGCTGGAAGGTGGCACCCCTCTCCCCATTGCTCTCGGAAGAGTTCAGACCTATGCAATTTCTGGTCCCTGTAGTGACTTCCTGTGTGCTTAGCAAACAGAATATGACCATTCTCTGATGTGTACACATAAAATTAATGGCTACTAATTATTATCACTGCCATTATCAAAAAAGACCACCTAGCCATCATCTAATCCCCAATTCAAATCTCGGTTTTGAGCCACTCTAACTATCCCCATCCCCAACCCTGTGGATCTGGCTGGGAGTGGGGTAAAACCCTTGGAATGTGGAGGATTCATTCATTCATTCATTCATTCATTCATTCAACCTTTCATGCTTTCATGCTTGAGCATGCCAAGTCCGGGGTGTCCTCCATGCCTTTGCAGTTTCCTCACCTTGAATGCTTTCTCCACAGATGCTCCCATCTTAAAAGTCACCTCCCCAGAGTAGCTCTCTCAGACCTTCGTGACCCCTCCTAGCCATTTCTCATCATATCTCCTCGCTTAATTTTTTAAAAAATATATTTTATTGATTTTTTACAGAGAGGAAGGGAGAGAGATAGAGAGTTAGAAACATCGATCAGCTGCCTCCTGCACATCTCCTACTGGGGATGTGCCTGCAACCCAGGTAATGCCCTTGACCGGAATTGAACCTGGGACCTTTCAGTCCGCAGGCCGACGCTCTATCCATTGAGCCAAACCGGTTTTATCATATCTCCTCGCTTAATTTTTGTTAAATTCATGACACTCATTACTGTCTAAAACGATGTCATTCACTTCTATATTGATATTGTTTTGTCTGCTTTCCTCTTCTGAATGCTGGTCCCAAAAGGGCAAGAATTTTTGTTTCATTCAGTTCTGTGTCCCTAGTGCCTAGCACAGTGCCTGGCATACATACAGCAGGTGCTCAAGAAATATTTTTTAAATAAAGACTCCTATTTCATTTGCACATACATACATTGAGATGCCAACTCAGGAGTCCTCTATGGGGCCCTGTGCTGGTCTCTGATGGTCAGGGAAGAATCAACCTGATAACCCTCCCCGCCCCCCTGCAGTCCTCAGCGCATGGCCAAGGGTGCCAGTGATGATGCTGGTGAGGGCCTGTGCCACCCAACTTCTGCTCCTCCAGTCCAGGGGGCTGAGAAGACTTGCCGGCTGTGGCTGCTGGCCCATGCTGACCTCTATCTTTTTGCTCCTTTGCCTTCCAGAAGGATTTGCCCCTGCCCCGGAAAAGCAGCAGGTGAGCCTTGGGGAGACATGCGCTGGGCTGGACGCCCCTTCTCCAGCCAGGGTTGGGGTGCAAGGCAGGCGCGGGCGGGGCCTGGCGCATTG